AAAAAAATAAATAATAATAATTTAAAAAAAAAAAAAAAAAAAATCAAACAAACAGGAACAACCAGAGTTAAATCATTCCTGGGAGGGTTTCTCCTGGAAGAGTGAATGTCTGTACACATTGCCTTCTGAAAGAAAAGTCACAACACAGTTCTCCAGCATCCCAGGGTACTTTGCAGGCCCTCCTCCTTTACCTCCCTCCCTCCCCCTCACTGCTGCCATTCTGTCTTCAAGCAGGCAGAGAGCTACAGAGCACTCTTAAGATCTGTGCACCCTTGGGTATGCAGTCAGCACTGCAAGCTCTCTGCTTTTCAGGAGATCAGCATTCGAATGTCTGTTCAGGCAGCTCCTTGTCAGTTTTTTCTACCAGAAAAAACAAACCCATCAGAATTCTCCCAGATCATCTGAAAATGTGTACACAGCCAGTATTCCCTCAAATGGCATTTCCTGTTAGAAGCTAATTTCAGTACCTAATTTAGGACGCAAGTCTTAATTCTGCCATAATAATGAAGACAATTACAATGATATATTTTATAATTTTATATCATTTAAACTTTGACATCATTGGAAAATATTTTTTACTTCTCACAATGAAGTTTAGAGACAGCAATAATAAGTAAAAGCAAAGTATTGTAAGAACAGAACGGTATATAAACAGGACCTTCAAAACATTACCTTAAAAAACATAAGATGTATAATGCATTTCTTATCCTAATCACAGAACAAAACAGACTTAAATCTGTATTGTACCATACTTAATTACCATACAATACATATTCACGATTCACACCGATTTTGTACACTATTTATCCAAATGGAACACTATGAATCACACTACATCCAGCAGTAATACGAATGTCATTTGGCACGTGTCTTTTTAATAAAAATACATTTCACTTTAAACGACTGCACTTGTGGTCCTATAGTTACGAAAAACAGTATGACAATGCCCAGAGAGGTTTTCCATAAATTTGTTAGTTGAACGATATAAAAAAGGCCCCTAACTTCCTAATTACAGAATAGTAAGTGCTATGCCATCATGCAGGCACACTCAGGAAAAAAAATCACTATGTAAAATTTAAATCTTATAATAAAATGTTAACATTTTCTAAACACCACTGACTATGTTAGCCCATTCTGAATGATCCTAATAAACAAACAAGATAGCTATTTAAAAAAAAAAGCCATAAAATATTCCACCTCTCCTGTTGCTGAAATGCAAACGCTTTATAATCAATAACATCATCAGTTATGTACAGCACAGCTAATCCTCTTTGCTCTCACTCCAGCTGCTTAATTAAAAATAAATTCTGTCAATTGTTCATATGAGGAAAAAACCCCACAACCCCAAGGACAGTTGCCTATTAGGGGCTGTGCAAAATGGCACTGTTTCATTCTGACTTCAGTTTCGAGGTCTGGACAGAACAGTGTTTTGCATCAAATTTAATTTTAAGTCGAAACAGCCTCACTGTTTTGCTTCGTTGAAACAGTGAGACTGTTTTGACGTTTCACCTGACCATGGGGCTAGGGAAAGGAACTCAGCCCAGCTGGGCTGAGTTCCCAACCCCAGTGCTATGGTCAAAACATTCTGACTAGCCTTGTTTTGTTTCAAGGCTATTTCAATGCCCTTTTTTAGTGCTTTGATTTTGCTGTTTCGACCTCGAAATGAGTCAAAACAGTGTTGAAATGAAACAGCCAGAGAAATTTCGCACAGCCCTATTACCTATCCTATTCTTAGCTGTTTTTACTGTGTTTCAGCAACTTAAAACAAGGAAGAAAAACCAAATTCTGTGAAGCATCAACTTATCTGAAGGCCCAGTTTGGAAATGGCTGAGCAAAAAAAACAGAACGGAGAATTTACTGTTGTTTCACAAATACAAGATACAGTACTACAGTTGTACTTACTTTTTTGATGTTAGAATGGGCATATTTATCTGGGTATCTGCATTAAAAGAGAAAAAAAGATTTAAGGGTTTTTGTTCTGAAAAATACCTAGCACTTATTATAAAAACAGTCAAGAAAATAAAAAGTGGTGCGACTTACCTCGCCACTTACCAACCAATAAAGGGTCTGAAATACTGTACTCTGGTCGGCTTCTTGAAAGAATACCTTTTCCAAAATAGCCCTACATGGGAAGAAATAAAATGGTTGATTATCTGATCAAATGTTATTCATGAGCTAGGTACCCCTCCCATACAAAACTAAACTATAAGGAAATCATCCAAAATATGTGAACCCTCACAAAGCCTCATCTTCATAAAAATCCACTTATACAGACATATCTTACAATGCTCTGGGCTACTTTAAATAGGGGTTGCAAGCCTATTCCAGAGGTTAGGGTTGCTAACAATGAATGCTTTTCTACAATAGTCCTCTCTCTTCTATACAGTGAGGAAGCCAGCTTTAGTGTCTCCCTGAAAGTTAATTATAGCAGGGCCACAAAATAAATAAAGCTTAAATAGAGTAAATCAGAATTCCATCCAAAATTCAACAGATAGCTGGAATATAAGACAGGTCAGAGTTTAGAGGAGGGATGGGCAAAATACAGTCTGTCGGCCAAATCCAGCCCACAGGTGGATAGATGCCAACTCACTGGATCTGGCCCATGTGCAGCTGCCGCATGGTGCCAGGCAGGACTGCTTGTGCCCAGCAGCATCAGCTGTGGACCCACATGGGGCTTCCACCACACCAGGCAGGTGGTGGCATCACCTGTGGATGCTGCTGGCAAGTTCAGGAGCCCAGGCGCAGAACCTGCTTGTGGTTTTCAGATAGCACCACCCTCACAGTGTGGCAGTCCTGCCCAGAGCCTGCCAGCAGCATCAGCTATGGACCCAGGCAGGAGTTTCTGCCACGCCAGGCAGGCATCAGCATGAGCTGTGGACACCACTGGCAGGTTCCACATCCGGGATTCAGAACCTGCTGATTAAACCTGCAGCTGAGGCTACCACCTACCCACTGCCAAAGTCCCTATCTGCGTCCACAGCTGAGCTTTGGGGCTTCTGGCACACTATAGCTCTGGCCTAGTTCTGAAAGAGTGGGGGAGGTGCAACAAGAGAGAGAGGTCTCCAAACCTCATTAAACAGCCCTCCAACCAAAATAACTGCCCACCCCTGGTTTAGAGATTTAGGCTTGCTTCCTTCATTAATCATAAACATTTATAGCATTCTATTTTAATTACAACTGGCATGAAACCAATACTTAGTATTAGTCCTGTTTGATTTCAGTATTGGAAATAAACATAGAGATAGAGCCATCCAATAAGAGAACAAATGATAAAACGATGCCCAAAAACACAATGGCCTAAAGAGGGCACACATCACTCAAGAAAAAGTCCTTCTGAAGTGAAAGGACCTGCATGTGTGTACCTGAAGTACATAAAACCTAGGTAGTTAGATGCATGTCTCTGACCTTAATAAAAAGTAAGAGGATGCTAGTCACAGACATACATAAAATGTAAATAGGACAAATGGATCAACACTTTTTTTAAAATTATTTAATTTTTTTTTAAATCAAAGTGTTGTTAACATTTTATACAATTTTTAGACTGTGTTATTTTTACCCTTATTATTTATGATGCTTTAAGTGATGTTCCAGAACTTGGCATATTCTTATCTGAAGGAGACAGAGCTATATGTTGTGAACTCCTATTGTTTCTCAAGTGCATCCTTCAGCATTAGGCATAAAACCAAACACTATCTATTACATGTCATAGCTTCTGATGATCTATTCTAACAAGTAACCAGCTCATTTGGCCCCACAAACTGACTCAGGGCTGCAGGGTTCCTCATGGGCCAGACTGGGACCCACCTCCAGCCATGGGGCAGGCAGTGGCCATGTTAACACCTGAGGCTGCCTGAGTCACTATTCCAGCTCAGGGAACTGCAGAATGTAATGCCACCTCTACTCACCCGGCTGTCAAAATCCCAGCCCCTTTGGGAGCCCAGTGGGTCAGACGATACAACTGCAACCTGTATGACATCTGCACTAAAACAGGGGTCCTCAACCCCTGGCCCACAGGCCAGATCCAGCCAATGGAGCTTTGTTATCCAGCCCACCGGGCTCCCCAGGGGTCTAGAAGTTTGGCTGCAGGAGACTGGTGGTGCCTTAGTTGCTGCTCCCCTGCTGCCAAATATCTGGACCCATGGGGAACCTGCCAGGCCAGACAGCATGGTCCTGTGCGTTAGATTGGGCACACCCTGATCCAGACAGGGTGGGGCCCAACCCTACAAACTCACCCCATGAAGGAAGCCAGCCCCAGGCCACTCATTCTGCCCAGGCAGCAACCCAGCTGAGCACCATGGCACTAAAACATTATGGTGTCTATACATGTGCTTGGGGGGTGGCATTTTAATTAGAGCAGTTCCTGGACAGCAGCTCTAAATAAAATGCCACAGCATCAATGTATTCAGCATCCAGGGCTTCAAAATGGCAGCGAGGGCGTTTAACTGAAGCTAATTTGATTTTGACATGCAGGAGGGTGAATATACATGAATGCGAGGAGCGCTCGAGCAGTCTCATTAACTGAATGGAGCCTGCTCCGGTTGTCATTACAGGGGCAGGCGCAGGTGCCCAGCGCCTCCCCACTCAGCTAGGAAGAAAACAGGGCATCAGTCTGACGGGGAACATTAAGGCAGCAGTTCCCGGGCAGACCCGGCGGCGGCACCTGGCTGTACAGCTGCTCCATGTCCTCGGGGCTCCGGACCAGCACGTGGTTGTTCAGCATTTCCGCCCGGCAGGGCCCGAAGTGCCGGGAAGCGGGCAGGGGAAAGGGCGGCCGGAGCGGCTCGTACACTCTCCTCTTCCTTCGCGGGGGCCGGAAACCTGCTTCGGCCATGTCTCGGCCCCGGCGCTCTCCCTGAGGCCCAGGGCACAAATCCGGTCCGAGCGCGGCTCCCCTAGAGCCCAGGTCCTGTGGCTGCGCCCTCGGCCCGCGCCAGGCAGGCTCCCGGGGCGGGGCGAGGGGGGGGCGGGAGCGCGCTGGGCCCGGGGCGAGGCGGATGCCGCCAACCCCGCTCCCAGTCACCACCCGCGACCGTGGCTCTGGCCCGCTCCCCAGCTGTCTCCCGTGACCACAGCAACCGCGGGGCCGTAAAACAACGGAGTAAGGGCGCGAGTCCTGCCGCAGCCCCGCTGTGGCGCAGCGTGCGCGCCTGCGCAGTGGACTCTCAGGAGCCGGTACAGGCTCCTCCCCCTTCCCGAGCAGGCGGCG